CCGCCGTGCCGTACGGACGCTGCGGCGCTGCACTGAAGCCGAGACCCGGCGGACATCTCGAAGGATGCACTGAACGCTGCATCCTGCTGCGTGCGATGTGCGCTGATCAGCAGCAGATCGCTTGCCACGCGGGTGGCGTGTGCTGAGCGCGCACGGATCGCGTTGTCGTTGTCGACTCCGCACAATTGTTGACACACGTCTGAACCATCCGCATCACCAGACGTCGAATGATGTTGGCCAGTGACCAGAAGTGACGTTCGCTGCACCACAAACGACACGGCGAACCGCTGCAAAGGCCCCGTAACCACATATGGGTATATCAACAATGACATTGCGGCATTTGCATCCTCGAGTGTGTGTCGTTTAAAGGAGCATCGGCACCGTGTCACAGCTCTGACTGTGGTCGCAGTCGTTCTGACCGCTCAGCAGAAAATGCTGCCGCTCCCACGCCGCACCCGGCCCCACCCATCCGGCGGCCCCGTGGGCAGCGGCAATAGCACGCCCTCTTTGCGCACGACCGGCCCACGTCGGGGCCCGGCCCGCTGGCGCAGCCCTTGGACCGCGTCGGCCCCTGTCAGCTGCTGCCCAGCAGCCCCTGGCGTCATGCCTCGGGGCTCCCTTGAATTTGGCTTCTACATGCACAACCTAGACGAATCCGAAAACGACCATCACTCGCTCCTGGCCGCCTCGGCCTGGTGGCCGCCCGCTCCACCATCGCCCGCGCCCGCCCCACCAACACCCGCGCTGGGCCTGCCGGCTGGGGCGGCGCGGCAGGCGCCTGCGGCGGCGGGGCTCCTGGAGCTGTCGGGCGTGCCGCCCGAGGGCGTCGCGGGCCGGCTGTGGGCGGCAGCCCAGGTGGGGGCGGAAACGATGTTGACCTCAAGTTTAAGTTCCGCTTGCGGCTGGGGTCTGGCCGCGCAAGCCCATGGAGTGAGGGGGGCTGGCCCTCATGCATCGTAGGCCGGGGGGCGCGACGCCCGCGGTGGGGCTGCTGTGCAGTGCATTAGTGCCTGAGCTTAGGCGCCATCAATTGACGGGGTTGTTGAGGGAGCGCCGTGTGATCCAGCAGGGAGGCGTGATACTGCTTGTATCTTGACTTGGGGCACCCTCATCTCACTCGCGGGGAGCCTGTCGCTACTTCCCCACCCCACTGGGTCCCAATCCCTCACCAACCCACCAAACCCATACTGCTGACCCCCACCCCCCACCCCGCCACCGCCGCCGCCAACCCCGGCACTCTAGGGGCTATCCCGCCTCCTGCCCGCCCAGGCCGACGCCGCCCGCGCCGCCGCCGCCGCATCCCCCGCCTTCCGCGCGGCGCTGCTCTGCGCCGCCGCGCGCGCCCGCGGCCGCGCGGGGCCGCTCCTCTCCCTCGTGCTCGGCGCGCGCCGCGCCCTCCACCGATCCGACGACGCCAGCTGGCGGCCGCCGGGGGCGGCGGGTTCACGCCGAGAAGCTCTCGGCGCAAAGTTCGTCGACGAGCTGATGCACCGCGCGTCCGCGCAGCGCGCCGCGGCGGTGATGACGCCGACGGAGGTGGCGGCGCTGCTGCTCTCGGCCGCTGAGCTGGCGGGGCCGCCCGCGCGGCTCTCGGCCGGCGGCGACGCCGACCCTGCCGCTGCCGCCGCGTGCCCCACACAGTGGCCGCGGCGGTGCGCTCCGCCGGCGCTGTGGGTGCGTGCGACGCTCGATCGCCTTGCCGCCTGCGCGGCAGGGGCTGCCGCAGCAGGCGGCAAGCCGGCAGCC